ATACATGGAGGGGAATCCGGAGTTTCTTTGTAATAGAAGATAAGACGAGCCAAATTCTAAATGGGAGATCTGAATCATACTTTTACAATGCAGGTTAGTTAGTGTGATATGTAGATTTGTGATGCTTAGTAGAGGGTTGACTCTAATGGGGCCTGTTTGGGAATAGCGTTAGAGATTAGCGTTAGCGTTTTGGATAAAATTTTAACGGTGCGGATTACTTTGAAAACGCGAACGCTGCCCGTAGATAGCCTTTTCAAAATGCTAACGCTAATCGCTAACGCTATTCCCAAACAGGCCCATAGTCTAATGCTACATGGGTTGTAATTATATAAAGCGCAAACTGCTAGGGGCTTGTTTGGGAATAGCTTTAGAGATTAGCGTTAGCGTTTTGAAAAGAGTACCTACGGGCAGCGTTTAGCGTTAGCGTTTTCAAAGTAATCTGCACCGTTAAAATTTTATCCAAAACGCAAACGCTAATCTCTAAAGCTATTCCCAAAGAGAGCTTAGGTGAAATTGATCATTTTCGTTGCTTATTTTTGTTATATTTACTACTATTGGAGTTACTAGCTCTGGGTTTGGCCCAAAAGTCCAACATAGCTTTAGGGCTAGAGCATTAGTGGAATGTCGGACTTGAGTGTAAGATGCATCACGACACAGTAATACATAAATATTTTTGTTAAGTTTATTTAAATGGTTAATAAAAATGATGAATAATGTAAAAAAAATAATAGAGAGCAATAGAGAGGCAAGAGAGCGATAACATTGTAAGTATTTTGGGTCGCGACTGAAAGAGAGAGAGGAATGATGATGTGGCAGGCAATGAAGCAAGGTGAAATAAAGTAATATATCACGAAATAACCAAGGATAAAAATCTGAAATCAAAATTAGTGTTGCTTGTAATGAATTTGTACTATTTTTAAACTATGATAAAAACAAAATAGTATTAAAAAATTAAACAAATAAAACAGAACAAGAAAATCAAACAAATTAAATACCGAGTACTATAGAAATATAAAAACGGTTATATTAAAAAATAAAATACAAAAAAAGAAGTAAAAAAGGATTCTAGAGTAAGTTTATTTTTATTATAGTAGATAGAATTTAATTTGAGTAGAAATAAGTAAATGTTAAATAAAAAATGTTGTAATCGTTACCCTAGAAGTAGAGCACAATATACGGGTGTTAAGTGCGTAAAAAAATGAGTACGATCAACACCAACAAGGAAATTAGAGTATGTCCAATGGTGAGTCCCAAGTTTATTAAAAACGGTGTTAAATTTTCGATGAAGAATTATAAAAAAAGTGACTCCTATTTTCAACGCAAGGTCCCATCTTGGTGTCCCATCTATTGGAATAAATAAACGAAAAGGGAGATGGAATGAGTTGGGACGGTCCCAACTTAAAGGGACCAGTCCCATTTTTTTGTTTTCATCCAATGCCTTGAGACCAAACATTAGTCCACTTACATACCAACTAGAAATGAAGAGATGAAATGGGACTTGCATTGGACATGCTCTTAGTGGCTATTAATTTAGAATGAATAGTACCCAAATATTATACTCCCTCCATTCCTATTTTTATTACAATTTTATTTTCTTTTTTTCCCGATAACTTTTATTTATTTGTGTGTTTTCATTGATTATTTGATAACGTAAAATATTTTTATCACCTCTTGTTTTGTAGAACTTTTGATATAGTTTTTTAACATGTAATTTTTATTTCTTATTGACGTACAAATTTGTAAATAAAATGATTTCAAAAAGTCATAGAATTTTATCTCGTAATTCCTATTTTGTAATAAGAATATGGATGGAGGAAGTAGCTTTACCCCTAGTGTGAGAATTATATAAGAGTAAAAGAGCAGTGGAGTGAATATTGAGAATTTGAGATAAATATTGCACCAATGTGACGTGGGCATGCATACTTAGCTTTTTGACATATAATGGGAGATAACATGGAAGATGTTCCCCGGCACATACCTTTCTTTTAATCCACCCCTATATTGATCTAAAGGAGCTCTCCAACACGTCACATTTTATCTTCAAAAAAGTCGATTGGCGTTGTGCAGCTCGCAAAGACAGAGAGTGTTATGAGGATAGACCCAATTTCGATTTTTGGCAACTGCATCGAGAAGCAATTATGCTAATCATATGACCTTTGCAAGTACCAAGTGCAGGTTCCACTCCTTACTACCAATCTACGATTAAAATTCAATGTACCTCCTCTCAGTAACCGTCCGATCGTGTCTAAGAGTGCCCTCGGGGATGAGGTTCGTCCTTTTTTATCTTCAAAAAACTAATTAAAATTGTCAACGAGAGTTATCCAATTTCTTTTTATTTACTCACATGTACTCATTCATAAAAGATCTCTATACTAAGGAAGGTTTTGATGAGTTAGGTGAAGTCTATAGCTTAAATTATTAGTTTTAAAAAAAGCTTAAATTATCAAAGAGAATGTCCCCACCATTTATTTATTTATTTTAATAAATGTGATCTTGTCGGTGGGCATTGTTCAATTGTTTGAGCAAGAGATGCCAAAGAAAATTAATCTAAATTTGATCCTCGGCAACTAACTGCGCTAATAGGCAAATATGTTAAATAATCATAAGCCTTAGTGCAAGTATCAAGTACAAATTCCACCATTGGCTAGCCACTTTGTAATTAAATTACAATTCAACTTACCCATTATCAAGTGATTGTCCGACCAATTTTGAGGGAGCTCTCGAGGATATGACTTATCCTTTACTTGATAAATGTGATCCTATATTCCTACTTATTGCTGTTAAAGAGATTGATTAGGTGTATATTCTAGTTTGTGCTAATTTCTACTTATTTCATGAGTATATATCCTAGGTGAAATTAATCATTTCCGTGGATTATTTTTGTTATATTTACTACTATTGGAGTTACTAGCTCTGGGTTTGGCCCAAAAGTCCAACATAGCTTTTGGGCCAGAGCATGAGTGGAATGTCGAACTTGGAGCATAAGATGCACCACGATATGATGGCGGAGGTCCACGTCGTGATAAATAGAGTAATTCTGCAGTATTTGTTTTTTATGTTTAAATTGTCCAAGTACTTTTTTATTTTTTAGTATTTGTAATTATAAAATTTTAAGCATGTTAACTTTTTCCTTTTATCAATGTAGTATTTGGTAATTTTAATGTGATATTTCCTTATTTTTAACTTTTTAATTGTTACAATTTTTAAAAAATAATTATTCATCTATTTTTATTACGGTAATGAATAAATATTTTTATTAAGTTTATTTGAATTGTTAACAAATTAAAAATGATTAATAATGTGAAAAAATCGGAGAACAACAGAGAGGCGAGGCGAGAGGGTGATAACATTGTAAGTGCTTTGGGGCGGGGTTGAAAAAAACGAGGAATAATAATGGGGCAAGATAGGGTATACTGCCTACACAGTACCTAGCTAGGTACCGGGATGGCCTGGGTTCCGCCAGAGTCGGTTGGTTTTTTGAAGATACACCGTACCCCTAGCTGGCAGGGCATATCGTGGTCAGGTACCGTAGTCGTTGCAATTACTGTTCTTGATTGTTGAATTTGAATCAAATCAATCCTAATCACCTTCCAACGGCTAATTAACACGTTCCACTATAAATACAGGCCTAATCCTTCATATTTCAACAATTATCAAAGCTCTAAACATCCTACTTTTATATTTTAAGTGTGTTCATCTTTTTATTCTTAATTCTTTATATTTGACTATTTCAAGAGCCTTATTCTCCTAATTTTTATACACACACTTTTGAGCTTGTGTTTTAGATATATACTCTCATATTCATAGGTTTATATTGTATTTTTGTGAGAGTATATTTTCGTTCTATACCGGCTTAGTTTTGTTCTTAATCTTCGAGATCAAGCCGTTGTGTAGAACCTAGTTTTGTGTTCTTCATACACACTTTCTTACGGTCAAGAATAGCCGTTAAATTCTCAAGTTGTAACGGTTAAGGATAGCCGTATAAATCCTTGGGTAAAGGTTCAAGGATAGCCTTTCAAATCTTTGGGGGTAACGGTTGAAGATAGCCGTGAAATCTTTATTGTAAGTGGTTCGAGATAGCCGTAGTACAACCTCGGAGTGAATCCTATTGGCAAATGTTGTTTGCCAAACTAGTATGATGCTTTGACGGAGTTCAAGAGATAGAGACTTAGTGGATTCAAAAATCTTTAAGGAGGAGTCTTAAGGTATTGGAGTAGGGAGTTCCCGAACCACTCTAAAATTGGTGTTCTTATTTTACGCTTTTATTTTTACATTTTATTTATTGCTTCAAGGTTTTCCAACACCAATTTTATTAAACTTTGAAAACTATTTAAATACCTTATTCACCCCTTAAGGTGTGGGCACACTGACTAATAAGTAGTATTGGAGCGGTTTCATAGTTTAAAGTGCTTAACCGCATATAAGAAAAAGATCTACTTGTGTCCATTTTAAATTGAATTTTTAAAATCTTAAAGTTTTTATCCTTGATTTTTAAAATTCAAATTTTAAAAAATGGACTCAATGAAATCCCAAAGCATTCACCACTCTCCATTTTTCAATGGACAGAACTATTCATATTGGAAAATGCGGATGAAATACTTTATTCAATCAATTGATTTTGATTTATGGTTGAATGTACTTCATGGGCCATTTGTGCCAAAAAATGGTGATCTTGTAGGGTTATCCGCTGAGGACAAACGGAAATTATCAATGAACACAAAGGCCATAAACATTCTTCATTGCTCTCTTGGACCCGTTGAGTTCACACGCGTGTGCTTGTGTAAAACCGCCAAGGAAGTATGGGAATTGCTTCAAGGCACCCTCGAAGGAGAAATCTCGACTAAGCAAACAATGATTGCCCTTGGGAACTCGGAATACGAATCCTTCAAGAAAGGGACTAGCGAGACGATCCAAGACATGAACAAAAGATTCAACAAAATCGTAAATAAGTTGAGTAAGTTGGGTAAGACGTATATTCCTTGCGAATTAAATACGAAGATATTATTTTCTTTACCTAAAGAATGACATAGTTGTTGGGCTTTGTGGAGGTTTGGGCTTGACTTTTGGCCCGGCCCATTTTACGAAACCCTAGATGCACTCTTCCTATATATATTGCATTCTTGTACTTGTAATTGACACCACAAGTGAAATAAGAAAATCCTCCCGTTGCAGCTGTGGATTAGGGAAACCGAACCACGTTAAATTCTTGTGTGTCGTTTGTGTTCCGTTTCTCTCTTGATTCTCGCAGATATTTGTGTGTGTTGCGTGTTTAATCCCCAACAAGTGGTATCAGAGCAAGGTTATTCAACACGAGCACAAATTGTGAGAAATTTGTCACCTAGGGGTTTTCAGATCTGTGCGTGCTGAGCCGCCGGGAGAGATCTGAGATTCTAGTAGTCCAATCTGAGATTGCCGTTCAGATCGTGCCGCCGTCAGCCGCTGATTCGTCCAGGTGCCGTCGTAGAGGAGTCGTCACTCAACCGGCCGTCGCTGAAGGAGCAGTGCGTCTGTTGAGCGAGACCGCCGCCGCCGACGAGAGGAGTCGCTGGGTCGGGATCTGTCGCTGTCGTGGAGGAATCGCCGCCGCGTCGCCATCTCGATCGCCGCCTCCGATAGGCGCGCGCAGAAGGAGCCGCCGCCGCTACCGTCTTCAATTGCAGAGCCGCCGGGAGTGACGCCAAACAGCCGCGGCAGGAGCGAACACCAGGGGCAGTCGCCGTCCTCAGTTGTCGCCGCTGTGAGGGTCGCGCCAGAGTGAGTCGCGCAGCAGGGGAGAGAGCTGCAGCCTTGGGGTTGCCTCGGTGCCGCGCCGCCCAGGACCCACCTTCCGGATCGCCGCCGCCGATAGCAGCGCGAAGGTCTGAGCCGCTGAGGGAGAGTGGCTCTGATAGACCTGCCGCCGCTAGCCACGCCTAGAGAAGAGACCGCCGCGCCGTTTCATTGGCCAAGCCGCCGCCGCCGTCGAAGTTGTTCATGGAGATCCGTCTTGCACCTGCCGCTGTGGCGCACAACACCAGGACAGAAAAAAGGGGAACGGCAGCCCACTTTGAAAAATAAGAAAAGGAGTGGTGGGCCCGGGCAGTGGGCCAAATTGAGTTTCATTTGGTCAGCCCCCATCCTTTCTCTTTTCTTGTTTTTTTTTTGGTTTGATTGGGCTTTATTTGGAGAGGTTTGGGCCTGTTTGATTTGGAATTGGTGAGAAGTGGTCTTGTTCCTGATTTTCTGACAAAATTACCAAGATCTGAAATTTTTGTACCGGGTATCTCGTCCAGTCGTTTGAGATGGCAGAAGACGGGAAGTTCCGAATTGAGAAGTTCGATGGTACAGATTTCAGTTGGTGGAAGATGCAAATTGAAGATTTGCTGGTTCAGAAAGATTTGGACGTGGTTTTAAGTGACAAGCCAGAAAAGATGTCGGATGCAGATTGGGCAGGTTTGGATCGGAAAGCAATGTCCGTGATCCGTCTCTCGTTGACCAAGAATGTTGCGTTCAACATTCTAAAGGAGAAGACAGCGAAGGGAATTATGGAAGCGCTGTCTAATATGTACGAGAAGCCATCTGCAGCTAACAAAGTTTTTTTGATTAGAGAGCTGGTGAATACAAGGATGAGAGAAGGCACTTTAGTTACCGAGCATATCAACAAGTTGAATTCGATCTTAGCCAGACTTGCGTCAGTGGGCATCAAGTTCGATGATGAAGTTCAAGCTTTGCTACTGCTATCGTCTTTGCCTGATAGTTGGTCCGAAACGGTTACAGCGGTTACCGGTTCAGTGGGGCCTGATGGATTCACCTTTGATCAGATTCGAGATCTCATTCTTGGCGAGGATGTCAGAAGAAAGAGTTCGGGGGAGTCATCTGGTGAATTACTTCATGTTGGTAGAGGCAGAAGAAATAGCAGAGGTAGTGGGAGAAGGAACAGACAAAGGAGTCAGTCGAAGACTCGTGACAGCTCAGGTGTAACGTGCTGGAAATGCAAGGAGGTAGGGCATTTTAGGAATCAATGTCCGAATGATAAGAAAGTAAACATTGCTCAAGGCTCTGCGAGTGACGAGGAGGTCGCTCTGACTTGCTGTGAGGAAAGCAATGTGGATTCCTGGGTCATGGATTCTGGTGCTTCATTTCATGC